GGTAGGTAGGTAGTAGGTAGGTGGTAGGTAGGTAGTAGGTAGGTGGTAGGTAGGTAGGTAGGTAGGCAGGAAGGTAGGTAGGCAGGTAGGCAGGTAGGTAGGCAGGTAGGTAGGTAGGTAATAGGTAGGTGGTAGGTAGGTAGGCAGGAAGGTAGGTAGGCAGGTAGGCAGGTAGGTAGGCAGGTAGGTAGGTAGGTAGGTGGTCGTAGTAGTAGTAGTAGTAGTAGTAGTAGTAGGTGGTAGTGGTAGTGGTAGTAGTAGTAGTAGTAGTAGTAGTAGTGGTGAGTAGTAGTAGTAGTAGTAGTAGTAGTAGTAGCCGTAGTAGCCGTAGTAGCCGTAGTAGCCGTAGTAGCCGTAGTAGCCGTAGTAGCCGTAGTAGCCGTAGTAGCACTAGCAGTAGTAGCAGTAGTAGTAGCAGTAGTAGCAGTAGTAGTAGCAGTAGTAGTAGTAGTAGTAGTAGTAGTAGTGGTTGTAGTAGTATTAATAGTAGTAGTGTTAATAAATAGTTGGCAAGTAGGCTAATGCAAAGACTTTAGTTAAAAAAAAAACTTTAGCGGACCCATCGCGGAAATTTTCGCGATGGCATACCATGTTATGCCCGTGGTCGTTTTGTATAAACACAGCGACAAGGACGTTTGGGTCAATGCTCAACTCTCATAACTCTCTGACTATTCCAAATTCCACGTTTCGCAGCAGAGCAACTAACCGCGTCCGAGTATCGCCAACCACTTCACGTTGCGGGCGCCTGCAATCCCGGGCAAAAGGGCACGCACAGGAAATCCATGGTCCGGTGTCAGCTCTTCCCCATTCCTTAGGTGTCCAATACAAATAACAGCATGCTTTTGCCTTGAAACATTCAATATGCGGCACCCATAATCAGACTGCTGAAGCCAGAGGTTTGATGCTGAATCCGCCCCTGCTCGTAAAAGCCGCCTACATAAATTCATTGTTCAGCTCAACACCCCGAAATATGCAAACTGGCACCCCCAAAATGAGACTCAGGAGATCATCAGTAGCAGTAGCATCATGGGCATTATCCGGGACTCGTTTCTCCAGCCATCCCTCCCCGTTCCTATCTCCCGCCCCCGCTCTTCGTCCGCTCCCCCCCGCCCCGAACAGGGCCTCCCCTTCTGCACAGCTGAGTCTCGACTGAACCTCCTGCAAAGCTTTCGTGAAAAGACAGAAACAGGTGCGAAATACCCAGACCACATTCAAACAGAGCCGTTCCAAGCTTTCGCAGACCTGCGAGACTTTGGGCAATGCACCTACCAGCAGTGGTCAACCTTGACCCCATCACCGCAGAGCTCACAGCGGCCCTTAAGCAGATAGTGCCACACACAGCACCAGGTCCAGATACCTTGGCCGCCGAAACCTGGCAGTGGCTCGACGAGCACAACCTGGACTCCGCAGAGTCTCCAGCCAGTCCGTCCTCACATCCACCATCCTGGATGATTGGCACCACGCCATCATGGCTACAGACAAGTTTCTCTACTCAACACCAGGCTCGTTTCCAAAAGCATTCACAGCAGACTTCAAGAAGCAATCGCCGACAGGCTCAGCCCTTCCCAGTAAGGCTTCTGCTGGATGGGGGAAAGCGTTCGACAAAATACACCCCGACGCCCTACTCAGAGCACTCACCAGATTCGGAGTGTCACCGCACGTTGCAGCACTCATCAAGAACATATTAATATACACATCACCACAACTCACAGTTCAGCGGCAGGGCAACGGCACATCAGAAGGAGATCACGTAGAAATCCGACAAGGATGCCCACTGTCACCAAACAGTACCTTTTCCTCGGTGTTCACGGCATGATATTTGCGCGACGTGGACCAAAAGCTCACAGACCAGCCCGTTGACGACCCAGCCTATGCAGACGACACGGCACTCACAGCCGGCACAGTCACCGGAGCTCTTCAAAAAGTGGCGGCTCACAGCAACCTTCATTAATATAAGAAGTGCGGGCTCTTGAGATCCCCTGCTTCACAGCACACCGTCTCTTTTGCCAACGGCACACCCATCACCATCGAAACGCACACGAAACACCTCAACGTCACCCTCAGCAGCGACGGGTCCACAAGACTAAGCAAGGCACATCAACAGTTCCACGCGCTGCACAGATTCTGGCACGACACAGACCTCGGCCTCACACGCATATGAAAGCTCCGCGCGTACAGGCGGTCTTCCTTCCACTGGTCACTTTCCAGCTGGAATCTGCGCCCTTGGCAGTGGAGACGACAACCGCCTTGAGGCGTTCCAAAGTGCCTCCGCAAGATCCTTCACATCTAACGGACGCATAATACACACAACAGTGCACTCGCGTCGCTTAGCACTGGCTTTTGAAGTCTCCGAGGCCCCCTACCACCCACAGCCCTCTTACCCTCCGCATATCTACAGACTCACAGATTAAAGGCAATTAAAGGTAGACCGCCATACTTGAGACTTGGAGTTGCCGAGTGACCTTACTGAGGCAGCGTGCAAGACCTCCTCACAGCTACGAGGGGGCTGGGCGGAGTTGTGATGGATAGATGGTGGTCTGTCTGTGTCTTGGAAGTCCAAGCAAGCACCCAGCGACCAACACAGAAGGTCCAGCCACAATTCCGCTCTTCAGACCAGCTCAACCGCCATAAATTCAACAACCGCATGGCTTTGTTCATGCATTACGCAATTTCACAAACAGACACAAACAGATGAAATACTGCGCGTGGAAGTGGCTCCGAAAAACCAACGTTAGTTGTTAATTCCACGCATGCTTCGACTCCTGGCGCGCATCTGTGTCGAGAGTCCATGGTGTCTTCTGCGAAACATTTCGGACGCGGACGCAAGTGCTTGGGGGAGCCGGCAATGTGACAGGTCTGAGATGATGATGATAGAACAGCTGTTGTCACAAACCTTGGTCTTAACCAGTGAGAGTATGGCGTGTCTCTGCATTCGAGCCAACTGTACGCTGTATAGCGCACCTTCTACCCGGCAACAAACCTGCATGAGACCCCTCGTGTTAATTCAGCATGACTTGAAGACAACACGGTGATAAACGGCTCACCAGAAGAAACAGAAAAAGAGCAACGAACAATGGCCGATCAAAACACCAATGACACATTAATTGCTTGCCGGCACGACACTTCAGAATGTGCGTCCCGAAAGCGTTCAGACTCAAGTTTAGACGCTCCACCGGAACCCATCGCCACGCTTTCAGCAGTGAGGCACGCTACCAAAAAACAATGGTAACTTGCATGATGGAGGATGATGAGCACGTTACACAGTGCATGCAGCACTCCCTGTGTGTTCACCTGTTTCCTGCCAAAAAGTCGGTCATGTTTCGAGCAACTCAATATCATCGCTGATTCGCTGCGCGACATGGTGCTCGCAGATCTGGTTGCTCTTTGCACATCTGTGCCCTGAAATCAGAACCCTGAACATCAAAAGAACCTCGATATCAAGAAACCTTGAAAGACAATCCAAGGTTCATGTGCGTTGCCAACAAGCAGTCCGCACTCTTCTCCAAGGCAATGCTCAATGGTATGGAAGTGTAATAGCCGTCCACCCCTTCCAGAGTCAAGTGAAGGTCTTGAATGGCTTCTGTAGCCAGTGTACTCAATGACGGAAACAACGTGCCTGAGAGCAGCCGGCCAGGGATGGATGGCGATTACTCTAAAGAAATGTCGACATTGTGATGGAGCGCAGCCAGAATGCCGACACCTCATGCAATGACACAGTTGCTTCCAAGCTTCGCAAAACATCATCCAGCCGATAGCCGGACCATGATGCATTTCCAAGCATCCTGAATGCGCTCTGTAGGGTGAAGGTGAAACCCTTACCAGGGTTTTCAACCGCGAAGCTGGTCGGTGCAACAGTGCAACGTAAACGCCAAGGTCGCAGCACAAAACCAATTAAACAACGCAAGCGGCCCTGCGCCAATATGTTCACTGTCTCCGCCCACAAAGCCACTGGTGCCATAACCATTTGCGGCGATGTTGTCAGCTGCCCTTCCAAAAATACACTCAAATGATGCACGTAAACACCCACACACGCAAAACATTCGACCACAAAAGTACGCACGAGCGCGCACACACACACACAAGCACACACTTTAAACAGACCGTTTTGTCTGGGATGTCGCCGGTGATGTGGCTCACTTGCGATGATGTTTGTATTCTGTGATGCCTTTGTCATTTGTCTGTGTTCCTGTTTTAGTTTTCTACGTTACAACGATTTTTAGAAGGACTCAAGGCTCAGGTTAAGATTTACAGTAAACAAACAGACATGCAGCTCACAATACTCAGATTGCAGCAACCGTGCAGGCAGACAGCTCAGAATGTGGCCATCTTCGGGGATAGACTAGTTCCGCGCGCTGGCGCTGGCGCTGCATCGCGCTGGCATGGCACCGGCGCTGGAGCTAGCACTGAGGCGCTGGCGCTGGCCTGGGGAATGGCTGGCGGCCGTCGGCACTGGCGCTGGCGGTGCATGCGCGGGGGAGGGCGCGCTGGTGCTGGCGCTGGCGCTGTGCTTGCGCTGCCTTTTTTTTGGGAAGAACTGCCGGGCGTTGGCACTGGCGCTGCATAGGGGATGGTGCTGGCGCTGGGTTGAACTCAACGCAAAATGAGGGAGCGGGTTGCGGAGATACGTGGTCAATCAGGATCGCCTATAAATGAGGGGGCGGGTTTAAGAAATGCGATCAATTGTGACAGCAATGAAAAACATGTCTGGATTGAGGGCGCGGGTTTAGGAAATGTGACCAACCGGGATCGGCTAATGGCTAATGAGGTGACGTGTTTAGGATGGGTTAAGATGCACGATGAACCGGGATCGCCAAATGAAGGGGTGGGTTTAAGAAGTGTGATCGACGGGGATCGCATGACAGGGTGTGCTTAAGATAAGTGGTGAAACGGGATCGCCAAATGAGTGGGCGGGTTTAAGAAATGCGATCAACCGGGATTGCCAAATGAAGGGCGCATTTAAGAAATGCGATCAACCGGGATCGCCTAACGAGGGGGTGAATTGTTAATATGCGATCAGCCTGTATCGCCGAATGAGGGGGCGAGTGTAAGATATGTGATCAACCGGATCGGCCAACAAAGCGGGGGTGGGCTTAAGACATGTGGTCAACCTGCTTGGCCAAGTGAGGGGGCGGGTTTCAAAAATGTGATCAGCCGGCATCGCCATGATGGGGGAGTCTAAGATGTGTGGTCAAAACTAATCGCCAAAGGAGAGGCGAGTTTAAGATATGTGACCAACCTGGATCGCCGAATGAAGGGGGCAGGTTTAGGATATGTGATGAACCACGATCGCCAAAGGACGGGCTTAAGATATGTGATCAACCAAGATGGCCTAATGAGAGGTGAGAGGTGGGTTTAAGCTATGTGTTGAATCAGAATCGTTTAAGATATGTGAAGAACCTGGATTGAGGAGGGTTTAAAAACGTGATCAACCAGGATCGACTAATGAGGTGGCGGGCTCAGGATCGCCTAGTGAGAGGGCATGCTTAAGATAAGTGGTAGAACAGGATCGCCAACTGAGGTTTAAGATAATATGTGATCAACCTGGATCACCAAATGAACGTGCATCGCCAAATGAGCGGGTTGAAGGGCTGGCGCTGGTGCTGGGCTGGCGCTGGGCTGGCACGAGGGCTGTCGTGGGAGCTGTCTGGCTGGCGCGGGGCTGGCGCTGGTGCTGGCGCCGGCGGAATAAGGCTATGGTGAAAAACTTCTGCGATGCTCTCCAGCCCCCTGCTTCGGATTTCATGCTCAATGGTCGATTCAAATCCACGCTTCCTGACATTTTCATCAAACGACAGCCTTGCAGCTTTGCCTATCGCACCAGACAGCCAGCACGCAACATGTACGTTCGATTCAAGCATATTCAAGCCCACCGATCCAGAAGTCACACACCGTAGCGGTATTGGATATACTGCACCAGGACGTATGCGTGGTTCAAGAATTAAAAACCTCGCTGTCGCCATGTGCCTGTTTCCAGTGCATTGGAGGACAGAGGTGATCCGGTGGCGTGGAAAGCGCCCTTGGAGCTGGCACAGCGTTAGATCCAGCTCCTCCTGCAATTAGTGCCAACCACGATCTGTGGAAGCACGGCTGCGTTCCATAGCTTGGTACAGTATTGTCACAATCTTGTCACGCAGCGCCCGATCTACAGCAGGCACGAAGCATTGTGCAAAAAGTTGCCTCCTGCTCCGACACGAAGGTGATCATATGATCTGCAGACGTCTCAATGGCCGGAACGGGCGCATGATTTCGCACGTAGAGCTTGCCTTTCCTGTAGGCCGATGTGTGAGCAATGACACTTGGAACAGCTACTGCACGCTGCATGGACGGCAAGAGTCATGACGAGTGACGGTGTCAAGAACTCTGCTGCCAGCTCCGAAATACACGTTTCCGTCTGAAACGGCAGCTCGCCTGAGCTATATGGCATGGAGCACCCTATATTGGCCCTTTTTGCCCTACCGGGCCCTACCGTGCTGTGCTCTCTCAAGGCCCCCATCATGGATCTGAAAACATCACGATGCTTGGACAGGCTGCATGAGGGGGCCGGATGCCAGGGTTTCTTATGCAACTAGCAAGGCCACCGAAGAACTTCCTTTCCGGATTTCGGACTCGTCTGAGAGCTGAAACATGCTTTGGGAGCCACCAAATCCTGTGATGCAAAAGGGAGGCTTCGTGAGCAGTGAGCGCCCATGGACACAAAGTTGTAAGCCTCCCTTTGCATCATGAGCACGGATACCAACTTCGACATAGCGTACATGAAGCGACTATAGAATTACAGAGCCCGTGATAATCCATGGAATGCTTTTCGACTTGACATACTGCATGCACTCCGACAGTCAAAAGTGCGAGGATTGTGTGTGTGTGTGTGCGTGTGTGCGTGCGTGTGTGTGCGTGCGTGCGTGCGTGCGTGCGTGCGTGCGTGTGTGTGCGTGTGTGTGTGTGTGTACGTGTGCGTGTGTGCGTGTGTGCGTGTGAGTGTGTGAGCGCCTGAGCGCGCATGTGAGTGTGAGTGTGT